AAGGTCTAGAGGGGCGGCTGCCTAATGTGTGGGAGGTGGCCGGAGCTGTGACGACTGTAGGAAAGCTGCAGGAGAGCGGCCGGCGATTCTGAGAGGACAACAGGGGACTGCAGTGACTTGTGAGGGGCTGCAGGGAATTGTGGCGGCGTCGGGAAGGCAACAGGTGGCTGCGAACTGTCTGCAGGTAAGCTGCAGTGGGTTGGGGGCCTCCTGGGAGGACCTGCAGAGAGTTGCGGCTGAAGGGAGGCTGCAGGGAGCAGAGATCGGTGGTCGGGAGAGGTGTAGGGAGGAGCAGGCGCATTCTTGCAGTGAAGCTGTAGGAGGCTTGGTGGTTGTTTGGAAGAGCAGTAGGGTCGCGACACCCTGCCGGGAGGAGGTGGAGGATCCTCCGACATTTTGGAAGACAAAAACAGGGAAGTTGTCTGCTGAATTGCTGGAACAATGGTGAGCTGCTGGAGGATGAAAAGTGGTAAAAAACATGAAGATAATCATCACCTCGGATGGGTTATAGCCGAATCACATTCCTCATTATCGGATACAACCCTCAAGGAGAAAACAATAAGCTAAACCTGAAATCAGATCTCAACAATCAACCCCCTAATTCTAGACACAACTCCTATTTATAAATGAGATTTGACATAATTAGGAAACATTAAATTAAGAAAAGAGCATAAAATTAGATATCAGATTTAAAGAAAAGAAGGGAAGCTTTTTTATTTAGTAAAGGAAATAAAATAAGATCTTAGTATTTTTGGAAGGTTTTTGAGGATAGACCTAGGAAAGAAGAAAGGAAAGGACGAGAAAGGCAAGAGGGAGATGGGAGAAAGGAAAGGAGAATAAATGGAAGGAGGGGGCGTAGGGCCCCCCTCCAAGGGGTCGGCCGGTTCAGTTGGGCTGGACCTGTGCCCGGTCAACCCCCTAGGATTCCCGCATCACCTCTTCTTCCTAGACCGTTTCTAATTCAAAAACCTTTCCAGACATAGAGATCCGATTTTTTATTTTTTATCATAATTTTTAGTCTTTCATAAAAGCCTGAAATTTGATTTGATTTTCCTTCCTTAAATCTGAGATCTTGATTTTTTTTTTTATTCTCCTTAATTTAATTGTTTTCTAAGTTGGGTCAACTCTTTTATAAATAGGCGTTGATCTGTCTATGGTCAAGGGTCTTGATTTTGAAATCTGAATTCTGTTTTATTCGAGTAATTTCTCTATCAATTGCTGTATCCGACGATGAGGAAGGTGCTTTGACTGTAACCCCGTCTAAGGTGGTGTTTATTTTCACCATTTCAATCTCTCCCCACAGTCCTATAACTTGCCAACATCCTAGCACCTCCGACCATCCATACGACAACTTCTCTTCCTCCTGTTGCTCTCCCAAAACTGCCACCAGTCCTCTGCAGTCCTTCGACCTGTAGATGCAGCTTTGTTGCTCTCCCTACCCACCGACAGACCCTATAGCTTCCCTGCAGGCCCTCGCAGCACCCGCCTTCTCTCCCATAGCAAGCCGCAACCCCACTCAGGCTTCCCCAACGCCTCCCACCTGCAAATTACTGCAGCCCTGCTGCCTCCCTTACCCGCCGACAGCCCCTGTAGCGTTCTTGCAGGCCCTTGTAACTCCCGTCGCCTCCATACAGCAGGCCCTCGTAGCTCCTTCCGCCTCCCACTCAGTAGGCCGCAACCCTTATCCACCGCCGTCTGTACCGCCGCTATCCGACCTTCATCTCAACAGCCAATTCCACCTCCAACCACATTCCCACTTCTCTCTAGCCGCGGTTCGATGTTGTTATTATCACTAACCTGTTGTCCTACGTCTTCCACAACCGCCCCCACCTCTTGGCCTTTACCGCAGCCACCAACCCCGCCTTCGATGACGTACCTGCTTCTCTCCAGATACGGTTCGACGTCGTTGCGACTGCTAACCTGCTGTCCCACTTCTTCCACAACAGCTCGACGTCTTTCCGACCTTCACTGTAGTCGCCGCTCTAAGCCCCATCTCTTCGGACTCCCTCCTTTTTGAACTTGTCTTTATTTCTGGAGTCTTTGTTTGCATTAGGAAAGGAAATAAAGTTATATTAGGAAATAAATCTAATTCTCATAACTTCTAATGGAAATAAATTATTTTTTAATATAAATTCTAACACTTTATTTGTATATATTCAGGTGAACAACTTCCATACAATCTTACTAACGGTTTATTAGGATAGACATTAAAAAATTTACTGGTAAGTACATTCTCAAGGAGCTGAAAAAAGCTGCACACCTTTGTCCCCAGCTGGCATTACGAGGCACTTATATGTTGACACAAAATGTTGAATCACATGCTCTTTTTTCTATTTTAGGAGATGATATATTATGTTTTTTAAATGCCCAATAAAGATTTACTTATGGGAAAGTTTGAACAAAATTAGAATCTCGCTTATCCCAAACTTCTGCCTAGTGCAGTAAATGCCATTAACCTTTGCCCTAACATGCTCTATTTTTTCTTTATTCTCTACTCCACCTCATTAATCCATAAGATGTTTGCTACCACCTCACCAATTAAGGGATTGTCTTGATTGTAATTGATCATGTAACTATTTTTTGGCCTCCAAATTTTGTATCATTCAACTACAGGCTTCCCTAGAGCTGTATAAATTAAATACAAATGGAAAAATAAATACACTACAAATTCTCTTCTATTCTTGCCAGATTTTTATGTTGCTTATTTTTTGATGTAGTTCACGCATCAATCAATGCTATAAAGAAGTTTTTCGAATTATTTAATGCAGGCCACCCAAACTAACAAAAATCTCCATAAGCACGGTCTTGTTAGTAAACATTTCCTTTTAGAACCTTTTTATAGGTTGTGATGCATCTTCAATATGTCAGAACAACAACAAAACAACAAAAACAAGCCTTTATCCCAGTAAGTTGGGTCGATTGCATGAATCTTTTTTCTCCATTGTGTCTTATTGAGTGCCATAGTTTCATTTAATTTTAATAGATTAAGATCATTTTTTTATGCTATATGCCCAACTCTTTTTATGTCTATCTCTGCTGTTCTTAACTTCGAATCTAAACATTCACTCTCCTAACCAGATCATCAGATGGTTGACGTTTAATGTGACCAAACCATCTAAGACAACTCTCTCTAATCTTGTCCGCCACTGGAGCTGCACCAACCCTATCATGGATATATTCATTTCGCATTTTATCTCTGAATGTCAAGCCACTCATCCACCTAAGCATCTCATCTCATCTCATCAACACTTAAATTTATATTATGCTTCTATTTTAAATGACAACATTCTGCGCCGTAGAGCATTGTTGGTCTCACCACCATCTTATAAAATTTTCCTTCATGTCCAAGCGGTACTTTTCTATCACACAATAGGCTCGATGCTTTCTTCCACTTCAACCTACCAACTTGAATTCTACTAATAACATCACCGTCTATATCACTATCACTTTGATTAATTGACTCGAGATATCTAAAACATTTACATCTTTTAATGATTTGATCACCCATACTTACAACTCTACCACTAGAGCTACTATTACTAAAATTACATTCCATGTAATCATTTTTAGATCTACTGAAACGAAGCCCTTTAGACTCCAATGTAGACCTCCATAATTCAAGTTTTTCCGGAACTCTTTATCTAGTCTTATCAACAAGAAGGATATCACCAACAAAAAGCATACAACAAGGTACATCCTCTTGTAAAAGTCTAGTAAAAGCATTTATAACTAAAACAAAAAGATATGGGCTTAATGTTGATCCCTGATGTAATCCAATTGGAATAGGAAAATACCTTAGTCAATTCTCCTTCTGTTCGAACACAAGTAACAACTCTAGTATACATATCTTTAATGAATTGAATATAAGTCATATCAACACATTTCTTCTCTAGAACTCTCCAATGGACTTCTTTTGGAACCTTATCGCATGCTTTTTCTAAATAAATGAAAATTGTACGTTGATCCTCCTTGCTGTCTCTGTACTTCTCCATCATACCTCTCAATAAATGTATAGCTTCTATAGTAGAATTGACTGACATAAATTCAAACTAATATGAGAAATTTTTATATCACGGCTTAACCTATGTTCAATTACCCTCTCTCATTATTTTAAAGTACGACACATTAAATTATTTTCTCTATAGTTTGTACACTCTTGTGCATCTCTTTTATTCTTAAAAATAAGGACCAAAATACTCTTCCTCCACTTCTCAGGAATCTTTTTAGTTTTTAAAATAATATTAAAGAGTCAAGCCAGGAAACTCCTAAATTTTCTAAATTTTTCCACACTTCAATTGGAATATCATCAGGTCCTTTTGATTTTTCACCTTTGTTTTCTTTACAACCTCATCAACTTTCTTTTTTATTAATGCGATAGTAAAAATAAAATATTTTATTATTATTAACGATATTAATATCACCAAGGTCGATAGTATTTTAAAAAATTTAATTGAAAGTTTATCAAAATAGCTCACTCGCATATGTGAATATCTTTTTCTAAGAAAAGTATTTTTTGATTTTCATATTTAATAAATTATATTTGAATTAAATCTTTAATTTTCTTATATCTCTGTTTGACTAGTTTATACATATATTTTTCACCATCTTTATTATATAATCTATTATAAAGATCACTAAAATTATAATTCTTAGTGTCATAAATTGTTCTCTCAGACTTACTTTACTTGAATAATCAATATGTCAGAGCCCTAGAGGAAAAATAAAAGATTAAGAGTCATGAAATTATTTCCGCTTGATCGATCGTCGATTATTTACTGCATCATTTGTCTCTTTTATTTCTCATTTATGATGAGCTACAGTTTATTACATATTAATTTCTATTACCACCTTTTTGGGATTTACAAATGTGCTATTGCATTTTCCTCTCCTTTACTAAAACAAGTATTTCTTCAGATTCTTGTACATGAAGCGAGTATAGAATTTGTTATACAGTACTATGTTGCTTTTATCACTCTCTGATTCTGTTGCTATATCTTCAGACATTCTTGCAGATGAGATGATTCCCAGAATTCTTTCTCTTGTCCAAAGCTGCTTGTTGTCAAAGTCTAATTCTGCTATCACTAATATGTTTGAGAAGACTCCAAAATCTCTATTTTGGTTGAGGATTGTGGAAACGATTAAGGACAGATATGCTGTAGAAAGATTGTCCGAAGTGTTACTTAGGCAGCTGTCAACTAAGAATGTCAATGATGGGGAAGCATATTGGGCTCTCTGGTTGCTGTTTAACCGGTGCTTCAAGCTCGAAAATACGATGAGGTAGTCTCTTTTTTTTTTGGTGATTTCCTTACAGTTCACCTATTGTGATATATATAAATAATTTGATCACTCAAAGTCACACTTCTGTCACTAGAGCTATTACTACTAAAATTACATTCCATTTATTCAGGGAATAAGGCTTTAAGCCCATATCTTTTTGCTTTAGTTATGGATGGGCTTACTGGGCATCTACAGGAGGATGCACATTGGTGTATGCTTTTTGCTGATTAATAAGTTAAGTGTTGCCGAGATGAGAATGATTAGGTGGATGAGTGGCTTTACACTTAGAGACAAAATGCGGAATGAATATATTCGTGATAGGGTTGGTGTAGCTCCTGTGACAGACAAAATTAGAGAAAGTCGTCTTAGATGGTTTGGTCATATTAAACGTCGACCATTAGATGATCCGATTAGGAGAGTAGATGTTTTAAATTCGACTTGTGTTAAGAAAGGTAGAGGTAGACCTAGGAAGACTTGGGCTTATTGTATTAAAAATGATCTTAATTTACTAGAACTAAATGAAAATATGACACTAAATAGGACGCAATGGAGAAAAAGGATTCATGTAGCCGACCCCACGTAGTGGGATTAAGGCTTTGTTGTTGTTGTTGTGCGTGCGCGCGTACGCGCGCGTGCGTATCTATATAAATATAAACACACACGCACTCTTTTATTCCGCGCGCACGCGTGCGCGCGTGCGTGCGTATCTATATAAATATAAACTCACACACACGCACTCTTTTATTCCCATTTACACTTGGAAGGGCTAATTTATTTATTCAAAGCTAGTTAGGATGACTTCATGCCTTATTCCTCCCATTAGATAGTTTTGTTGTCTCAATTTGAACCGTTAGGGCCTGCTTTTGGTTATGCCATCTGCTCATAAAGTTCCCTCCATTAACACTGAAGAGGCAAGCTGGGAGGTTAATAGGTGCTTATGTTAGCTCAATCATTAGATAACTATAAGTGGGAAAAGTAAACTATAAAATGAAGCAGTTGGAAGTCTTTCTTTCTCAAAATTCTTAGGCTGGCTTAGAAGTTGGGCGTCCCATTAAATTCTTATGCTAAGAAATTGACTTCAATTGTTTTCCATGAATTCCTTGCACTTCGATAAAATAGGGCAAAGATCATCATTGATATGTAGCATGTAAATGTGGCTACTAATGGAATTAAAGCCAAGTAGCCAATGTATATTGACATTTACATTTCCTGAAAATTTCTTGCAACTCTACTCTATCTACTCTGCTGAATGATAATGTGCAATGCGCTACCTTACTGACCATTGTATCAAAATTATATATATTTAGGTTAATAGGGCATCAATATTAGCTTAAACATGAGGTATACTCAAATGATGTTCTGTTTGTCAGCCAATATTTAATTCTTTAATATGCATTGAAGCCTCGTTTAACAATTAGTGATTTTAGAATGGCACAAATTTTCAAATTGATCCTAATTCAGATTATTTTGACAGAAATCAACTCTTGTAGATCATTATATTTTGACGGCTTCTTGTCGCATATGCTTAATATTATTTGTCTTTCTTTTCTAAAGAACATTCTTTAACTCTAGTTTAGGCTATTTTTTCTCATTTTTGAGTTCTTAATTTTCACCAATCTACTTTATATTCTTGTGGTTCTATTTTTGATATATTTTAAATGTTGGATGTGCTTTTGCAAGGCTATCTTGGCTGTCGATGGCTAGATTCCTATGTGAAATGGATGGGACTATTCCTTTGAAAAATTAGATTTGGATTTGTTTCTCTTCTGTTTGTTATTGGTTGATGTTTTAATGTGAGGGTATACTCTACTGAACATTGTATAAATTTTGTCGCAAATATTCAATTTACTATATGATTCACTCATGATGGAGAGATTGAGTGAATCATCTTTTGTAGATCCCAACCGTTAGGTTAATGGGAATCTTCCATATGATTCACCTTGCTTTGGACTTAGTATTCATCATTTGGAGTGGAGAGAATGAGTGAATCATCTTTTGTAGATCCCAACCATTAGGTTAATGGGAATCTTTCACATGATTCGTCTCGCTTTCGACTTAATATTCATTGTTAGGAGTGTATTTGAAAACTAGTGCCACCTCTAGATTTGCACTTGTATATAGCATTGAGGATGTGGTGAGGAGCCCTATATTCATTCAAGAATATCCTTCAATAGAGATCGTGTGAACTTAGCATGATCATATTGTTCTTGTGGATGCTAGTGACCTAGAATTTTAGCGAGCATATAATTATAATGGTAAACTCTATAACATCAAAGCATTAGTTGATAAAACGTTTCAAATCTTATTTTTCTGGTGAGGCAGGTTTCGGAAAAAAAACCTCTATTCTCCTAACTTTACAATACTTCGAGCAAGGTGCAATAACTTATATAATGAATTTGATATCCTTGACTTGTGGGATTTTGTCACACTTCAACTGATCCCCTTTTAGGGTCAACTGCGATACGATAGAGTGTGACGATTCACTTAGACTGAATTCTCACCAACACTCATTCTGCATTGCATAATTAGAACTGAGTGAGTGATGAACTAGTCAACTAAATCGTCGCAAACATACATAAGACATTTCATTTCATAATTCATTCACATTTATATATACTTGGAAGCGTGAAAAATTTTATCACCAAAATATATATACATAGCTGTTAAATCTCCTCGGTGCAAGCTTTCAAAATTATATAATACAAACAATATATATGTCACACCTGATTAATCTCCTCGGTGCTTCTTACCCCTTTGTGAAAGTTAATAATATGGAGTGAGTTACAACAAGTTCATCAAAATAATCAAATCTCTATGAAGAATTTTACAGACAAGAAAGAAACAACATGCACGAAAATCATGGCTCCTATGCGTGACAGTAGAATATATTACAACATGGTTTAATCATGTAAGATATTTAAAGAAAAAAGATATATACTGTAGCAAATCACGACAACTATGTAAAGCATGTTTTTCATCTATTTTTATGCAATCACGTATACATCCAGTATGATTTTATAGTCAATAATTTCAACTATAAAAATATCACTTGTAATTATTTTTGTATTGTTTCATGTCATTGGTTCGTAATACTGCCCAAATATTTAATTAATTATTGATAAAGGTTGAGCCCCTCCCAACATTGGAGTTATCAATAGCCCCCCTGATACCTACTTTTTATCCCCATCTGATACCAACAATTCCTGGATTTCTTCTCAGTCTGAACATAAAAAATCATGAATCTCATTATTCACTATCATCCGTACTTGCAAGCATTTATGTAATAACTAACATATCACAACACTAGAGACATTCATGTAATCGTAATTCATCTAATAAGCAATCATAGACAATTCATAATCATATGATATTTTACTTTTTATGTTACATTTAATTGCTTATTGTACTCTTTTCATAGACTCATTATGATATTTTACTTACGAAAGCACTGATGTAGCATGGTGGATTAATTTTGAGCTGAATTAAAATAAAATATTTTGAACATGAGTCAATTCCAGCCTTTTTTTTTTTTAGCTTTGGTTTGCTGTCATTAGCAATAATATAAGGGACACTGAATTATATTCATGAAAGATGCACATGTATACATTCCTTTTGCGTTAAAAGGTTGTATTAAATATGCTAAATTTGAATCAGTAAATTTTTTCAAAATTTTTAGGCATAACTAATTAAACAGGCTACCTATATTTAGTTGCTTAACTAAACAAAAGTTTTTTGATCTAGTGAGGAAAAATGGGTATCACATATATCTCATCTCCTTACTATGTCTCTTGGTTAAAGCTCTCTCTTCCAATCATTATCAGTACTCCTGCATCATATTGCATGTTACAACTTGAGACTGCTTTCTAGTTGCGGCCTTCCCACTTATTATAAAAAAAAGAAAGAAAATGAAAGAAAGGCAAAGAAAGGAAAAGAAAAGGAAAGAAAGGAAAAGGAAAGAATAATAAAATGATATTATTTCTTGTTTTCTTTCTTTGTAGTTGCCAAGTGCTGATAACATCAAAATTGTGGTTTTATTTGCGCACACCTTGTCCTCACTTTGCTGCTTGCATCGAACTTGTATGCTTCAACTCGTACACCCCACATAGGGATGTAAACGAATCGAGTTTGAGCGAGCCCAAGACTTATTCGTGTTCGACTTGTTAAAATTTATTTTTGTTTGTGTTCGGCTCGCTTAATTCGAGCTTAAAAAAATTGTTCGTGTTTGACTCGTTTACTTAATGAACGATTCAAACATGAGTTGCTTAACGAGCTGAGCATGAGTTTTTTGTGAATAACGAGCTTTTTTGACAGCCCTATAATGAGATGAGATTGGGCTTAGGTTTTTTTTTTTTCTTTTAGGAATTTAAATACAGACCAACCAATTTCTATCTATTTACATATCCAACACCTAAATTTTACTTTTTTTGCATTTATACCACCCAAATCTCTTATAGATTTTTTTTAAAATATAGCATAAAAATTAATTTAAAAACGATGTAAATAAATCTTGTTATTTAATTAGTTAATTATTTAATTATTTCGAGCCAAAACAAGCTGAATATGAACAAAGAAATCTTTATTCGTGTTCAACTCGCTTATAAATCGAGCTAAAAAAATTGTTCGTATTAGACTTGCTTGCTTAACGACGAATTGAACATTGGCTACTTAACGAGTTGAACACCAGTTGTTTGTGAATGACGAGCTTTTTTGACAGCTCTAACAACACATGCTCTGTCCTTTAAACTTAGCCAACTTCAAATATTTTACCCATGATCTTGCTTTGCCCACACTTTGCCTGGCTCCTTCCACTATGATTCACTTGCTCGCATTGGTTGCTGTTGCTGATCACCTTTCACACAACCTCATTGTCAGCCACAAAGGGCTCGTTTAAAACTTGTATGTTGCAACTCAAGCACCTCACATGCTCTTTGTTCTTTTTGCTTGGTCAACTTCACGTGTTCTGCCTGCAAACTTGCTTTGCCCCGCGTGTTCCTAGCTCC